AACTTCTCCTACGCTGTGTAACAAAATTTATTCCAGGCTTTAGTTTATTGGTTGCTGCAGACAGACAGCGCGTTATTGCACGTAGGCGGTTAGAAATGAATGATTTATGCTTTATAATTCGTTGAAAATCGGTTTTTCTCTTATATTTTGATTACAGTTATCCACATATAATCTGGATCAGAATCGTTTCTCCCTTCCCTGTGATTCGAATCGGTACTTCATTTATTATTGTCATCAACTGGATGACACCGGAAAAGACAACAAACTCGTCAGCTCTCGTGAAAAACATCAGTCGTTTCATCAAGTTGACCGCACCTATCCGTTTGTTTTTGTCTGCAATTGGGGAGGGGATTGTGGAAATTTAGTCACGCCCACCCACCCCCACCCCCTTTCCCAGACACTGTTCATTGGATTCCCTGTCCACGATCCGCGGGAGGCTCCCTGTTCTGTCTGCATCCATGCGATTGTCATCTAGCTACTTTACCGAGCGCGTCACACTGGAAGCTTGCGTAATGGTGGTTACAATTGGAGTGAAACTCCGGACATGAGATGTTGCCTTTCGGAATTAAAAGAGGGAAATGTGTGTGCGGGGAGGGTTAGGGGGCGGGGGGGAGGTTAAGCATTGCCGTTTCGAGGATAATGTGACAGATTATTCCTAAATTTTGAATGACATCACCACTGCCCTCACTGCAATGAGATGGCTAGACTGTTCCCTAGGGATTGGTAATCAGAGAGATTCGATGCGCCGTTGTCAGTTTCCGCGTCAATTTTCGGCGTGCTGTCGTTTCGGACTCACCTGATGAGCAAGCGTGACAGTTGTTCTTTATCCGCAGGTTATCCATTCCGAATGAAAACTAAACAAGATTTTAGTTCTAAAATACAGACTGATCAACTGGAGGATGGTTTTGCGCAGTCGTAAGTGTTGTGTCCAGATAAACAATGTCAAAGTAAAAGTTATTCATTTAGGGATTGAACAAATAGGCCCGATCAAAGCGGACGAGAATGATATTGGAAATTACTGTCGCACAAGGAAAATGCACGAGTTTAGATTGTCTGCCTCACAAGACCGCTTGACAACTGGGAAAATGATATTCATTTCCTCTCGGCATTTTCCCCTGTTTACGCATGACTGAAATAGATTTATAGAATCTGTTCCCGGTTTCCTTAACTTGTACACGAAGTAGGGTCGTGTTTGGTTGATAGAAGCACGATTACACATTGTGCGACTAAAAGCATTAGCTGTCAGTCTTCCACACAAATCGATATACAATCGAATTGGTGACTAACCGAGTAGATTCCGTCAGGCACACACACACAATGACCGAGTGGACGGGAATTAGGTTGACCTTTCCAGACCGGTATGCATGCATGCATATCATTCGAATGCGGTCTTCTGTATTCTTCGTACTTGGTGGTGTCATCACAAACACACCCCGCTTTGGGTTAAGAATAGATTGTATCAGATGAATTACCATGAAAAATTATGCTCAACAGAACATGATTAACAAAGTGAACAACGTTCAGATCTATACGATGTGTGTACTTATTCCAGTAATCAGACCGAGTTGATGGGTCTGTCCCAACCTCAACTCACATCGGTACCAGAGTCCCTCGAGATTCCGTGATTTCTTCCACTCTACTCGTCCTTTTCATCAACGATCTGCTTTCCTTGTTCTGTCGTGTTACTTTCACACATGTCTGAATCCAACCTATGCACCACACAAATCACTGTCCAATATCACTTCTGAACGGGAATCAACAAATTGGATCTAACGTGAATGTCCCCCTTCACATTCCACTGTCTTCCAGTATGTCTTTTTTTCGCTCGCTTTTACAAAGGCGCGTGGTATTTTATGTGAAACGAATAGACACTAACCTTCAATGAGCTACGGTGTTTACACAACGCCACGCTCCGTTACAGATTAATCTTGGGGCTAGCCAAAGACTGCGGTTGTCCGTTCCCCAGGAAGCCATGTGCTTTTGCTTGTGCAATCTCGCGACCACAATCCGCGTATGAATTGATTTCTTTGTTATGAGGATTCTTGCTCCCCTAGTTTATGATACAATCCGAATCCAAACAGATGTGAGATGAGTTAATCTCTTGATAACAGACGTTCACTCAATACTTTTTCTTACGTCATATTCATTTTCATCTTTAACAATGAGCAGTAATTGCATCTGTAGTTACTCTCCATGCACTTTTGTGTATATGAACACCATCGGTTCATGAAGTTATGCCAAAATACTTCCGAGAATTGTTCGTGAGTCTCAGTAACTGCTCTCTGTGCAACACACCTGTGTGTGTGGTGATCTACTGAAATCATTCTCCATCCAGTTCTCAGTTACATCATGTGCCCTAAACCATTTGAGCCAGATGCGATGTAAGTGGTGACTGCAATTCACACATGGACGCACAATGGCGTTCGTGGAAGCTGTCGCGATGCAAATGATCTCGACGCGTCTGTTCTTGTGACCGATAAGTAGGCAATACAGCTGGTATAGAGGATAAGATGGGATCACTTGTCAGTGATAACAGGCGGTAGTTCCGTATCTCCAATATGGAGTGGATCAGTGTTTGTGATTGGAGCAGATTGAATTGCTTATTCACCTTTCTTCACTGATTGTCAATAAAGTTGTTTGAACCTGGGGACACGGTCCACTACCACACCTAATCTAGTGGGACGACCCTATTTACTTCGCCACTCGAAGTCCTGAGGCTTATCTTAGCGGTTTCTATCACCGACTAGCAAGCAGGTCTACGCGACTATGCAGCCCACTCAGTCTGCTATTTATCACACCGGACGTGTTTAACAAAGAAACGAGCACATCGGGCGCAAGATCACCAACTACGTGTAAATATATATATATATATATAAATATATATATATATATATATATATATATATATATTGATCCGTTGGGCCCATTCTAGTTTTAATCGCTCGCTATTATTTGTTCTGAATGGCACAATCTTAGCTTTGGTAGAATTAAAGACGGCCTAACCTTTCTCCTCTCTGGAATGTGCCAACGATAGTTGGGATTGTTGAATTAATTATCTCGTGCTTTCTGTCAGTTTGCCACATCATTTATGCTTGGGTTATCTCCTGTATGAGGCTGATTAAGTATGAATATAATATGGATGATATTCCCTTGATGGATTACGCAGTCTTTCTTAATTCTGACCATTGCGGATCGCAGAGTAAACTACATGTACTCAGATGATGTAGCTCATTATATTCTGTGTCGAAGATAATGGATAGATGAATACTGGTCTACGTCGAGCGTAAACACACTTTGTCCGTGTGCGTTAGAGCTGGATTCAAGCTTCCACACCAAACTGAAATTCCAGTCTGTACTTTCCATACTCGACGTTTGTACTGTTCTCTGCCAGGATTAGGGCAGTCGTAAACTGCTAGTAGTACGCGGAGATGTTGACATTGATGACGTTATCGAATAAGTCAGTCGCTGAACTCCCCACCACTCCAACTTATGTCACATAGCAAAAGATACAGACAGATTCAATTGTGTTCTGTAAACCGCTGATTGTAGTTGTTACATTTCTATTGACTTTCCGTGAAAATCCTTGCAATGTTCTTAGTGTAAAGCAACTGAGGGGTGAGGGAATAAATCAGCACTGACGGAGTGATACGTGATGTGCTTTCAGTGCCCCCTCTTCACTCTTTAAAATCAACAAACGATTTTCCCCACTCTAACGAACTGTTTACGCGTTTCTCGTGTGTTTGTGTGGCGTTGCACACTGTTTACCTAATCTTGAGAGCTATATGGTGATCGAAGAAAGATTATGCTGGTGTGCTTGCTCATTCCGCATTGATCGACGAGATAGGGAAGGACGGGGAGGGGGTGGGGTGTGGGGTTTAGAAAAGTGTATTAGTGCCAATGTCTTACTGGCGGAAAGACTGAAAATTCTCCCACTTGTTTCAACGATGGATTTACTTGACACTGACTGTTCACCCCATACTGATTGATGTAATACTTATTTACAATCATTCATTTTCGTCGTATGCTATTATCAGTGTTCTACCACCAAATTTCTTTTTATCCTTTTATTTTACTCCCTTTCATTGAATACAAAACGAGACTATTTTCAAGGAAGAGGAAGCGACCAGTCAAACGACACAGAGAATGGGGGAAGTCAGTCGGTGCTGGTGGTGGTTGTGGGATTGGAACACACATCCTCCGGAGCCCACCACTGCCCACTGTAGAAAAGGAGCAACTCTGTCGTGTTCATTGATCATTCAATTACTCGGAATAGCAATTGTCTTTGCTGTTTTCCCTAACTGGCTAGGCATTGTTGATCAATGGCTTTCTTATAACTGAAATGTAAGCATATTTCAGGTTACAAAAGCTAAACAAATACAAATACCAAATGACTAACTTCATCTGGGTCCGGTTCCGCTCAATTGTTTTTGTACAATAGATTATAGTGAGAGGGCAGAATTGATTTTTTATTCTTCCTGGTCGTCAAATTGCACGGGACAACTGTTTCGTCCATGTCGGGTCTTATGAGCAGTGTTTAGCATTTTTATGTCCGTATCGTGGTTCGAACCATAAATGTTCGAGTTAGGAGTATAAACCTTGAAACCTGAGCTGCAAGACTGAGGGCCAACAACTTGATCCCACAGCTACATGAATTGAACATTTGCTTTCATCATCCACGCGACATCACACCGGTCTGTTGTATTGTGCTCCTGTATATGCAGGTCCCACTTCTTCTCAGTCTCGTTGTTTTCCCTGCTCGTGTAGATACAGAATTTGTTCTTACTCACTCTCCACTCGATCTGCTCCATCATAATGATACCTATCTTTTTCCACCCTTTAATTCATCCCCCGTCCACACCACCCCCGGTGCAGGTCAAATCTATCCCATTCCCGTACAACACACCGGACCAATTTGAGGCAGTGATTGCTCAGCCTATCTCACGCGAATGGACCACAGAGAACACGCATCGTGAATTGACTCGACCGAAGGTGACCGTTCAGACCGGTCACGTGATTCGTCCAATTTCCAAATCGGCTGCTCTGTTGCGTGACAAGGATGTGGAACGATTAACCAAACAGAGCAAAGACGTGTTGTAGCCTCCTCGTTCGTTCCCACTGTTCTATCCACACACAACCCGGTCTCGAGTTTTGTTTGCTTCCGCACTAGTGATTGAGAGGACCGCGGGCAAGCGAATTCCCGAGGAGCAGACTCTGTATATACATTCACCCACAGCCACACACTTTCCAATTGGGTTGACATTCAGGTTGACAAGCGGTTATCACTAACCGCACCTCCCTGACTGTTTTGTGCTTAAATGCTATCGACCACTGTTGTGATGTTTTGTCTTGATTTTGACGGCGACCACATGTGTGTGCGTCGCATTTTGTAAATCCGCATTTGTTCGTTCTTTCGATTTGCTACTGGACGGGAAGAACACGAAGAAAGAAAGGTGGGAGGGCCTCAATTGTACAAATCTAAGTTCCATGGATTGGCTGGCTTGGCGATGTGAACTGTCTAATCATATATATATATATATATTTATATATATATATATATATATAAATATATATATATATATATATATTGATTCGTTGGGCCCATTCTAGTTTGAATCGTTCGCTATTAGTTGTTCTGAATGGCACAATCTTAGCTTTGGTAGAATTAAAGACGGCCTAACCTTTCTCCTCTCTGGAATGTGCCAACGATAGTTGGGATTGTTGAATTAATTATCTCGTGCTTTCTGTCAGTTTGCCACATCATTTATACTTGGTTTAACTCCTGTATAAGGCCGATTTTGTGTGAGTATGATACAGAGGATTTTCACTTGGTTACCCAATCTCTCTAAAGTTTCACCATTGAGTGCTTGGCACAGAACTACCATCTCCTAGATGATGTAGCTCATCATATTCTGTGTCGAAGATAATGGGTAGATGAATACTGGTCTACGTCGAGCGTAAACACACTTTGTCCGTGTGCGTTAGAGCTGGATTCAAGCTTCCACACCAAACTGAAATTCCGATCTGTACTTTCTGTGTACTGAAGATTTTATCGTCTCGAATCACTCACCCGCGTGGGGGAATTTGAAAATGCCGGTTTCAACCGACCCCTCTTAGGAACGCTTGCATTGACTAGCTCCAGTTCACTCTGATGCGAAATGTCCCGAGCTCGCAGTATTGTGGACACCTGGACTGTGTGAAACGCATTTTGAGAGAGATCAAGATCTGTCGAATACAATAATCGATCCCAGTATATTACTGTCTTTACACCGCATTCCGTGCCAGGTTCCAGTTGAGTATCGCAAGATCATTCAGTTGATTTGGTTTAGGCCACCTGAGAGTATTGCGCCCACATAGAAATTATTTTTTTTAAGGTATTTTCTTATTTCACTATCTATTCTGCGCACATGGTCACATGATTGGGAACCATACTCACTTTTCTCCTTTTTTGCTACGTTCAAATGGTTTGAATGAAATCCTCAAAATCTAATCTGTTGGAATTGGAGTGCATTATTTTTGGACAGTAAGGATCACGGTGCTCTCCGACCCAACCCGGTCTTTCTATGGGTGGTTTGGTTCAGTGGTACTACTGGTTGGGTTCTCCGATCCCGCATGATTATCGAACAGGCAATACATGCATCGTCTACCATGAATCGTTTCCGCCGCTGTACAAGTCCGTCTGTTTTGAAGTATCTGGAGGATAATCAGATTCCGAGTAGTTACCGGACAGTACTGCTGCTGCGTACTCAGATATATGCCAAATCCTGACCTCTTTGAGAAGGTAGTCTGGGTACACTTGAGCCACGTACGGATTGTGTTCGCCGTTAGTGTAAAGGACTAACGTCACTCCTAAAATGGTTTTATCCAATGTTGTAGGGGAAACTATGCCTTGCTTAACTCATTTCAATCATAGAAAGCTTGTGCTGTTGTGTGTTTCTCAAATTCACTCCTGTCCTGCCCCCCCATCAGGGAAATTAAATATGCACTGATTTTTGGCTGAGTCAGACATGCTAGTTCATTCAAGCAACTTTGGTCCGTGTCGTTTGCTCTCTGTGCTCACTTCTCGACTGTACGCGTCTGTGTGAAAATGTGACGGGTTGACTGTCTTTCGGACATGTTCACACACTATCCTCAGTCGATTAGGCAGCAGGTTTGAGCTTCTCTCTCTATCTGACAGTATGGCTCATCAGTGGAGCATACCCAATGACCCATCCAGAGTTTAAATCCCAGAAGTCTTCCTTACAAGGTAGGTGTGTGCTAACCAGCTAATACTCGGTTGGATTCACATCTTTCAATCAAACATTGCCTTCAATGACTGACATGTGAATGGACAGGACACCAATAAATAGGTATCAACATCAATCGAAAGGCTGTTATTAAGTCAAATGTCCCCATTTGAATCTACTTTGCTTGTCAAAAAATTGCATTTTAGCTCGCTACTTACGAACATTATTCACAAGTTAAAATAAAGAATGTGATTTGTTCGGGTCTGAACTTTCATCACTTCAGGCCAAATGCGTGCGGTCCGAACAAGAAATATTAATCGTGCAGATGATGCCGGTTGTGACTGTAACAGGAGAGGTAATGCTCAATTCCATCCTCGTTCAGCGGTGGTGATGGCTACTCCTCGTTACGGAAAGCGTCAATTGTTTGTCGTTGCCAATACTATCCTTTGTCACTTATAAAGTAGGTTCTATGCGTGTGCGGATAGTTAGATGTGTGTGAGTTAATTTTTCTGTTGTGCATAGAAAACAATTACGCGATCGGTTGACCGGACATTCGGATTGTCTTCCTCGTACTCGCAATTTGATGTGTGCGTGTGTGGGTGGGGGTGGGGGCATGGGTTTCTAGTCAATTAGTGACGAGAAACGAGATCAATATTCCGTCGTTCGTGCGATTGGGAACATTGTCAATGACCTCTTCAGCCAAGACACTCATTCTCACCGGGTATGAGCTTGATGCTCGAGTTAAAAACATGGCAGAACTCATGTGATGCACCAGGGCAGTTGTTTGCCACGAACCTACATCACTGCGTATGTGCCTGTTAACTATGTTTTCTCAACTCTGGGGCGAAGGTATCATCATCATCATCGTGCTTGCTTCGTGTCACGATGGGTCTACTAAGTGTGTTTAGTAATGCACATTTAGTCTGGAACCAGTCGAGTATTGCACATGTTAGTGGCATTGGTTAGACAGTTTGGGTTACTCTGAATGGTGTAAAGCAAGCTCTGGGGTCCGAGATACCACCGCGATGGAAACCTCGATGATAGACTTCTTCACTGTCCTCCATCCTGTCTGGATGTTGTTTCAAGGTTTGCGTAATGAGTTCCTCTATCTATGAGGTTCAAAACTATTCATTATACCATACTGCAGAATAAAACTAACTCGACTACTTGGAGTTTTACTCGCAACAGGTAGTTGGACAAACTTGAAGCTATGGGATTGCAAGTTGTTCCCTGAAATTACCGGAAATGACCGAAAAAAGTTATGCCGAAATTGATTGTGGTTTGTTCAAACTTTCCGCGGGGTTACTGCCAGGTACTGATCGGCTAGTTGATTTCCCTGTCGGCGCACACCAATCCTTAAGAGTGGGGATCAGAAATCGAATACTACCAGCATCAAACTTTAGTGCTAGACAATTTGATTGTCTTCCAGCTCAATGCCTACCACTTCTATTCCGCTCCAATGGGGTCTCTAGTTTGAATAAAACAGTCTATAGAACCTTGGTTTGCACAACATTTATGGATTGATTTCATTCAATCTGCATAGGTACGTACTTTAGTTACTGCGGTATTTTGTTTATATGGATAATGACTTAACAATTAGTCTGCATTCTCTCACAAAAAGAAGCGAGGAGGATAAGGAAGTAAACATTTCCCAAGGGTGAGGTAAACGGACTAGTCATTCTGGTTGTATTGCTCTCCAGTAAGTTTTCCCGGTATGTTGAAGAAAGACTTTTATTTACTGGCGAGATCTCTGAAACACATCTCTAAATGTAGTGGACAAAATTTCCACAGAATTGTGCAACCGCTTGCTTCATTGACAAACACTTAATTGATTTCAGTTTCATTATGTAATGATTTTGTAAAAATTTGAATCCACGAATATGGTGTTATTGCTGAAAATACACCCATCCGGGTGCATAAGCTACTACTGACTTGACTTCTTGTTTGTACAGTTTGGTCTGTTTCTTGTGAATGTCTGTCTTGTGTGTAGTCAAATTTGAGTAACTTTGAGGGGTTACTGATTTGAACGCGCCTCTTTGCGAGCAACAACTCAGTGTCTTCTGTCTCAATCATGTTGCGTTATCAATGGGTTGAGACCTCCGACCTTTCCTCATGAAAATGCCATGAAAGCAAAATCACTATTTGTCGCTGAACCGTTTTTCGTCATCCTGTTATACATTTGATTTTCCTTTCTGCCGGTATGTGCATGGG